AAATCTGGACTTTGACTCTTCACGCTTTCGAAATTGGATCCAAAATGGTGAATTCCTCCTTCTCAATGTATTTTTCTCTCTTTGTTCTCTAAAATGCGGCTCTCTCACCAAAAACCCGAGCAAATCCCTTTAATATCAACCCTAAAATAAAACACTCCCAAAAAATAAGGAAACAACACCTTTTTTCTCGTTCTGGCTCAAGGCGCGCTCTTAGTAGGAACAAGGGGCGTGCCTTAGCCTTTAGGTAGGCCTCATTCGAGGCCAATTTGAAGTGAGGTGCACGCCTCACCTACAGGCGAGGGCGCACGCCTTGGCTAATTTTCGGCAGCTGAATGATTTTCAGTATTTATGTCATAATGTTCTCTCTCGATATCCGATTGAGACGATTCAAAATGTATTGGAAAGCTAACTCGAAGGGATACCACTCTTGTAGAAGTATCATTTTCCAATTCGAAAGTTTGCTATTCCAAAATTGGGTCTCAATGTGAGCTTGAAAATCTAAACCATAACGTATTCGGCTGGAAGTCGATATGTGATAATATTTGAACTATATTTAATCCATTTGGCTTCTTTCCTCATCCAATTGATACTTAACACTCTCAAATCTTCATATCGATGTTACTTTTGAGTATTTGTATTTCCGTGCTTGAACTTTGTATTTGATACAATTGAGTCATTTTCTGCTATCTTTGCATTCTTTTCTCCAATTTTTTTATCAAACATTGAGTTTTACTTACAAAATGAAATATAACACAAGTTAGGTAGTATTTTATCCAAAAAATAGTAAAATATCATCATTTAGAACCTCAAATAAGTGTAGAAACTACACTTTATCACACCTCCAAGCTTGATTATTTGTTTGTCCTCAAACAAAACTCAAACCTAACAAATACTTAAGCATACAATGCTAATTACCTAATTGGTGACCAGTCAATAAAGTAAAAAAAAAAAAAAAAATAGCTGGCTGACCTGACTTCTTATTTCGGAATTGAAATCATAATATCGGATTTATGTACAGTTTCAAAATCACAATACATAAATTAAAATTTACTT